TTTACAGTTCTTTGCTTCTCCTTGTTGTTTATTACAACAGACATTTGTTCAGTACTGAAAGATAATATTTGTATTCTCTTTAATAGGATAATATTTGGGTGTTTGAGTAAAGTGAGCAGGCTGCCACAAATATTCAGTCAAATTTAAGGTAATTGAGTTTACAATTTAGTACAAGTTCTTATTTTCTGAGTCAATAACTGTTTAAATATTTTTTGCAGCGATTGCTTGTGATTTAAATTTTCAAGAAAAAGGACAAAGACCATGTCAGAAATTGTTGAATCTGAAGTAAGTACCACCAAAAACAGTGAGCTATGTGGAAAACAATATCTCTACACAGATATTGAAGGTTATTTTAAATTACACACATACAAGTATAAACCATTAAACTTCTAATTTCAAGAATAAATACAGAATTCAGGCATAATTAATAAATAATTAATTCAAAATAATTTCTGCTTTTATTTTTAAAAGCAGAAAGTTAACTTGGAGAACAGAAAGACTTACTTTAGTTTTTATTTAAATTTCAGGATGAAGATCTGCTGCCGGGTATTGATCACTGGATCAAAGTCAGAGAGTGGACCCTGAATGTCTCAACTGCGTACAAACTATTTGAAGAACAAATCCATAAATTTAGTTATTTTCTGTTAAGGTCATCACATTTAACCGAACAGGTTGTAAAATCTGGACCATATAAATTAATTTATCCTGGAGATAAGTCAATCAAGTTAAAAAGAGATAACCAGACATTTTGCTCCATCAACCCGTATCCATTCGGTAAATACCATAATGCTACCAGATATATAAAGGACAACATTCTTAATGTCCCAGAATCAGGCGTCTCAGACTTTATTGAACCTTGGCATGAATATAAGCTTTTATCAATACACCTGATGAAAATCAACTGGAGAAGTTCATCACTGAGGTCATTCGGTTTGCAGCTGCCTGCATGAACAGCCGCACCAATGGTACCATACATTTTGGAATTGGAGACCAACCAGACTTTGTTCATGGTCAGATAGTGGGAGTTGCTGTTAATGACAAACAAGAGTACCTAAAAGCCCTAAAATCAGCCATTGATAATAACTTTGAACACAAGCACAAGTTTGCTGCTCAGAAATCTATTAAAACTCCTCGATTCGTTGAGGTTCTAAACAGAAATATATTATCTCATGAATTTGTGATTGAAGTGGATATTGAGCCTCTGTTTGCCATCTGTAGAGAAAACATCTTCCACACCTTTAACATGAAGAAACATAAGAAAAAGAGAAGACAGAAAATGTTCATCATTAGAGATTGTGCTAGCACTAGAGACCTTCTTGTCCCAACTACATTCGCCAAGCCTTTGGTTGAGTATGATGAGTTTGTTAAACAAATACCTAAACTATCACAGCTACGTAAGAAGGCAGAGGAGAAGCACTTAGATTTAACTGAACATGTTGTAAAACGTGGGCCATACAATGAATAATTGTCCAAGAGATAAGTTAATCAAGTTAAAAAGAGATACCAGACATTTTGCTCCATCAACCCGTATCCATTCGGTAAATACCGTGATACTACCAGATATATAAAAGACAACATTCTTAGTGTCACTGAATCAGGCACCTTAGACTTTATTGAACCCTGCCATGAATATAAAGCTTTTATCAATACACCTGATGAAAATCAACTGGAGAAGTTCATCACTGAGGTCATTCGGTTTGCAGCTGCCTGCATGAACAGCCGCACCAATGGTACCATACATTTTGGAATTGGAGATAAACCTCATGGTCAGATAGTGGGAGTCGCTGTTGATGACAAACAAAAGTACCTAAAAGCCCTAAAATCAGCCATTGATAATAACTTTGAAGACAAGTTTGCTGCTCAGAAATCTATTAAAACTCCTCGATTCGTTGAGGTTCTAAACAGAAATATATTATCTCATGAATTTGTGATTGAAGTGGATATTGAGCCTCTGTTTGCCATCTGTAGAGAAAACATCTTCCACACCTTTAACATGATGCAAGACAACACTAGACAGAAAATGTTCAACATCAGAGATTGTGCTAGCACTAGAGACCTTCTTCTCCCAACTACACATGCCAAGCCTTTGGTTGAGTATAATCAGTTTGTTAAACAAATACCTAAACTATCACAGCTACGTAAGAATGCAGAGGAGAAGTACTCTAAACCAATAAAAACCACAACTCAAGGCTCCAGGTTAATTAACATGATTACAGGTGGAGCCTCATCGTTGGATAAGTCCAACTTTGAACATTATGTCATCGTGACAAACAAATCTCATCCAAGCCATTTAGAAAATCTGGAATTTCTCATAGAGCTCAAACCAACAGCTGTTTTAGATTTTGATCCTGAATCGGCTGAACAAGGATTACTGAGTTACTTTAAACAGCAGATCAGGATGAACCCCCATTTACTAGCAAAATATGAAAGAATAGATAATAATAATACTGTCCAATTAGAATTACTTAAATATAGGAATAAGGAACCCTCAGAAAAAAAAGGCACCTCGATTCGAGACGTCCTGAATAAGAGCTTCCTTGTCATTTTCTTGCTTTTATCGCCAGTCAGGGACGTAATCGATCCGCTTGTTGAGACCTTCAGCATGTTCCTCCAGGAGCTCGGAGAGTTAGGACGCTTCCTCTGTATATGTGACAATGAGAATACATTAAATTCATGGAAGGATCTCATTGAGGCTAAGTGTACAGTCGACATCTCTGATAGATGTATCTCTGAGCTCAGTTTTGCTGAAGTCAATGGAACCGTCCTCAGTCTCTGGTCCAAGAACCGCAGAGCCAAACGGTTCCTAACCTGTGGGGTGGGAGCAAAGTTGGTCTTGAAAAGAAATTTGAGCAACCTTGAATACTTTGGAGATCCTGTGTGTGAATCAGTGTGAAGGAGGAAATGAGGACAGAGTTGCCATAGAGGAGAAGTTCTATAGAGGTGGGAAGGTATCATGGTGGAATTTCCATTTCTCTGAATTACCTGGATTAACACCATTCATTAAACGGGACAAGTTTGATTACATCGTGAATACTGGTATACAGATTTGTGCTCCCAACCAAAAGCTTGTGTCCTGTTCAGTCTTCTCCATCAACCTGGTTGTGGTGGGACCACCTTGGCCATGCATGTGCTGTGGGCTCTTCGGGACAGATATCGCTGTGCCGTCCTCAGGGAAAAGTCTGACTTTTGACGTGGCTGATCACGTGATCCAACTTTTAATGTATCAATATGATGAGCAAACACCAAGAGTTCCTGTACTGCTGATGATTGATGACTTTGAGGACATGGAGAAGGTTGAAGAATTACAGTCTGCAATTGAATTGCAGTTTATTGAAACAAAGATCCAGGCTCCAAAGGTCATCCTCCTGAACTGTATGAGGTCAGAGTCCAACACAGTGACTGAACTAACTTCACACACTGTGTTTATTAAGAAAGATATAGAAAGAAAACATAAGAATAATAATCATGGTTAATCAAATAATTTAATTATTTTAATTAAATTAAAATAATTACATTTAAATAAATAAATTATTCATTAATTAAATAAATTAAACATTATTTTTAATAAATGGTTAATTAATTAAACATAAATCTTTAATAAAATAAATTTATTTTTTATTAATGTTTTTGCCACATTAATAAATAAAATAAAGATTAATTAATTAAAGAAGATTGCAAAATATAATATAATAAATATTATATTTTCAAATCAAAATCTTTGAACTGGTCTCAAGAACTAAAACGTAGAATATTTTAAAAGGTTTTTGCAGAACATGCTGAAAAACCTCCAATAGTTTAATTGTTTGATTATTATGTTCAATTGGAATGTATGTATGATTACTTGAATTGACATTTCTGTAATGTACCTGGAGATGACACCTTGTGAATTGATTCTGTATGAATAAAGGTAATTTCAAGAATTGAATTTTAATGAATCCAAATGTCATGTTCTGTGTTTTTCCAAGTTTACTTTTGCGTTCCCTGTTGTCTCTGTGCTGTCCATGTTGTCCTGTCATCCCTTTGTTACTCCCAGGTGTGTTTTATTCCTTGATCACCCTCAGTGTATTTAACCCCACCTGTGTCTCTTGGTCCTCGTCTGTTCAGTCTCTTCTCCCTGTGGTCTGTTCTCCTGTCTGTTCTCCTGCCCTTCGTTGACCCGGTGCTACCGTCTGTCGAGCCCAGGCTTCAGCTCACTGATAAACTGGTTGCAGGTTGACCTGCCTCAGGTCAACCTGCAACCAAAACCTACCATAATGGTGGTGATGTCAGGGACTGAAGGCTCAGTTATTGTCGCTTTGACAGTTTGTGTTGAGCGCTTTTGAACCAACCAGTAGTTTGGCGTTCATAATAAAAGTTTACATTAGAGTCGCCAGATTGTTCAGTTCATGGCGACTTACAAACATCCAGAGATGCATGAGGAGCTGCTCATTCAATGAGCTTCTGGTTCAACCCGTCAACCAGGCTTCAGGGAAAATGTAGATGTGTTTTTTGTCTGAGAGGAGTGACATTTAATTTTTACTGCTAAAAACTATTTAAAAAAACATAATAATTGACAGGGCCGAATAGTTTAGATTTCTGTAAAAAAAAAAAAAAAGTATATTTTGTGGGAAACTCCCCTGTCAAGTTTTAATTTTAATGGCTTTAAAACATAATTACAGCATTCAGCCTTATGTCAAATCTGAGTCATTTACATAAGATTTCAGAAACAAACTAAATTTACTTCCTGCCTGAGGGAACCACAGGACCCGGTTCTGGTCCAGAACATTCAAGTCCTGGTTCTAAACTGACCCGGTTCTGGTCCAGAGTAAAAAGTTAAATACTCACATCCCTTCAGTCATGTCTGCAGAACCGGACTCTCCAGAACCAGAACACCGGTCGGCTCCTGCTGTGCAGATGAAACCGCGTCTCCCAGCAGCCTTCAGCTGTACGGGGGCGGGGCTACAGCCGAGCCGTCCAATCAGATCCTCGAACCCCTCAAGGGTTGAATCAAAAACAAACTGAAGGTTTTACATGAAAATATTTATTTAATATTTGGACAGAATGGAAATAAAACGATTTCAACACATTATTTATTATCGGAGCCCAATACAGGAAGAACCCGATTCTACAAAACTAAATATTTATAAAAGTCCTGATTTTAGTTCTGATGATGATAATCCGTCTTCAACATCTTCCTGATCTTCAGTCGTCCACGATGCTCAGCAGGCCGCTCAGCTTCAGCCTGCAGGCCCGTTCTTCTTCTCTGCTCGCCACGATCTGCTGCTGCAGCTCCTGCAGCCTGCGGGCCAGAGGGACGGGCGGCGCCGCGGACGGGTCGCTGCGGAGCGGGTCGTCGCTGCGGGGCGGGTCGCTCGGTCCACTCGCTCCTGTGTCTCTGGTTTCTGGGAAACCAAAATGACAACAAACTTAAAAACAACTGAAATATTAAAGTTGTGTCCAAAGTGACCAGAGAAGAAGAAAAGGGAACCTGCACTGATGCTGCAGCTGCTGCTGCAGGCGCAGAAACCCGCATGGTGGACGGAGAGGACAGCAGGGTGGAGGACGGGATGAAGAGCGGGTCGCCAGGTGGTCCAACGGGTCGCCGTCCATCCAGCGCTGCAGCTGCTCCAGACTCCTGCAGAGAGAGCGTCACCGTGACGACAGAACCGATCCACATGGAGATTCAGGAAGAAAGGTTCTAATCCGACCAGATCAGAACCAGGAAACCCAAACAGAACCGCCTGGAAGGTCTCGCGGTTCTGACAAGGTTGGAAACTAAAGAGTCAACCAGAACCAGGCCGTTGTCATGACTACCTCCTGCTCTCTGCCTTCTCCTCCTCCAGGTTCTGCAGAACCCGGTGGGCCAGCAGCTCCTCCGCGCTCGGCGTGTGTGTGAAGTCCAGGCGAGGCAGTGGGGCCCGGGGGCCCGGTGGGGCCCGGGGGCCCGGTGGGGCCTCCACCCGGCTCTGGAACAACTTCTGCCTCAGGGCCGGAGGCGAAGGCAGCGCGCTGGGGGCCGGAGCCCATCTGGCAGCAAACACAGGATTAAAGCTCAGCTTTAATTTTAATACCAAATAAAATCAATCTGCATATTTCTTGTTACTTTCCTTATTTTTCTACCTAAACATTTAATACTTTAATGAAACAAAGTCAGGAATCAAAGCAGAAATGATAAATAAACTGAAGTCGTTTTGAGCTCAGTGACAAATTCAGCATTTTGGTCCCTTTGCAAAAAACTTCCTGTTTGTTTAATAAGTTGAACAAAAGCAGATTTTGATGCTTCAAAGTTAAAGCAGAACAGAATCATTTCCTACTGTGAGAAAAGATTCATCTGTAAGTTAAAAATAAAATCCATCTGGATGGATGTTCAGGTTCTGCAGAAACCAAACGACCGAGTCCAGATCTGATCAAACATCTTCCTCACCCCTCCTCTTCCTCCCGCTGCGTCTCCCTGTGGGTCCGATCCACGGCCAGAACCCACTCAGCCGGAGGCCGGAACCCGTCCAGGGAACCGCTGGGGAAGAAAACCAGAACCTCTCCGTCCGCCGTCAGCGCGTCTGGAGCAGAGAGCAACGATTAGAGCAGGTGTGTCAAACTCATTTTGTTTTGGGCCAAATCAAGATCATGAAGGCTCTTAAAGGGCCGGTTGTGCCAGAATGTGTTGATAAAGCCTGTTCACAAACTGTTAATATGTCAATAAATTCTTAAAATTACATAATATTATTGAACTTCTTTTCAGTCCCTTCAGAAACTAATAATAAATGCGACTGTTTATTTACTTGCTGTATAAATCATGAACTATAATTATACATCAACTAAATTCAAGAAACTGGAGGGATTGATTGATATAAATTGGCAGTAAACAGATAAAAACTGCATTGATATGATTGATAATATAATATTTAATCACACTTAGTGTTTAGTCTAGTCTGTGGAGGGCCATATAAAAAGCTACGGCGGGCCGGATTTGGCCCCCGGGCCTTGAGTTTGACACATGTGAATTAGAGCAACAATTAGAGCAACAATTAGAGTTTATGTTGGGAAATGTGAAGCAGCAAACGTATCACTGATCAAACTTCCTGATTAATTTCTAGTCAGTTTAACAAGAGAGAGAGGAAGTGGGGTCAAAGGTCAGAGTTAGGGAGCATTAAAATATATTCCAGTTAAACCAGTTAACTCTGAAAGACGCTCAGAAAATCTGCAGGATTATTGATGAAGATGATGATGACTGGTTGGTTATTGATGGTTATCAGTGATGAAGATGAGAGGAGTGTTGTGTCTAGAAGCAGAGCAGACAGAACCTCCAGGAGGTTCTGGAGGTTCTGGAGGTGGTACCTGGAGCAGCCGGCGGTCCGGCCGGCTGCCAGTCCTTCAGCTTGTGGTCGATGAAGATGAGAACGACGTTGTCCCAGGGAATCAGGCTGCAGGCAGCAGAGAGACCGGCCGCCCCCGGGCCGACGCCGCCCTCTGCCGGGCCGACGCCGCCCTGGGCCGGGCCGACGCCGCCCTCTGCCGGGCCGACGCCGCCCTCTGCCGGGCCGACGCCGCCCTCTGCCGGGCCGACGCCGCCTCTGCCGGGCCGACGCCGCCCTGGGCCGGGCCGACGCCGCCCTGGGCCGGGCCGACGCCGCCCTCTGCCGGGCCGGGAGCAGCCAGTCGGACCCGCTCCAGAAGGTTCTCCAGCCGGGACATGAGGAGCGGCTGGCTGTGGCGTGACGTTGGGATGTGAGCAGCGTAACGAAAGATGGAGGAGCAGAGATCCGGCCAGGAGTCTGACAAGATGAGGAAGAGTTAGTGAAACCTGACCTCTGACCTCAGCCACGCTCATCTGCAGCTAACCATTGTATTAGCAAGCAATTAAACCATCAATTATTCTGATGATTGATTGAGTTAAAAAACTGCCACATTCTGCAGATTTTTCACATAATTCTTTCATATTATTTTATAACAAGAATGGAAATAAAAAAATTAATGTGTTCATCTGAAAGTGTAAAAATGAAAACATTAAATGAACAGCAGCAGCGTTTCTGTTCGTCTGCAGAAAAAAGCCAGCATGTGAAACAGCAAACGGCTAATCTGGGATTATTTTTCATTAAGAGTTTGTATAATCCAGATCCCGGTCAATAATCAATCGATCCGATCGATGGTCTCAGTCACTCCCTCCCTCCCACCTGCAGCAGGAAGCTCCTCCCACTCCGGCAGCCGCAGGTGGAGCAGCGCGTCCCTCAGCCAGCTCAGCTGCGGCGCCGAGTTCCAGCCCAGGTGAGGGACCAGCTCTCTGGTCTCCGGCTCGCTGAACTCGCCGGGCGGCCATGACAGGCAGCTCAGCTCCGGGGACGACACTCTGTCCGCCAGGTGGGTCAGGACGGCGTTGTACAGCCGGACCACCGGCGCCGGGCCCTGGCGAGGCAGCCGGGCGGCGGCCCGGTTCTGCCGGTTGGCGTAAACTCTGGGGCAGAACTCCCGGCTCAGCGCGGCTTCGACCAGCTGGACCAGCGGCCGGCAGGTCAGCGGCGGGGTCGGAGGGCGGCGGGCCAGCAGCCAGCGGACGGCCCGGGTCAGCTGCTCAGACAGAGAGAGAGGCCGGGTCAGCGGCCGGACCCGGGTCCGAAACGCTCCGGGACGTTTAGTCCTACCTGCTGGGATCCCTGCAGGTGGCCGGTGGAGTCTGGGATGAAGACGAGCAGGAAGTCAGAGATCAACTCTTCCTCCTTCAGAGCCTGGAGCTGCAGGGCTGAGAGAGACGAACCGTGAGACGGGCAGACGGAACCGGACCGGGACCGGGCCGGGACAGAACCGGACCCGAACAGAACCGTGAGACGGACAGACGGAACCGAACCGGGACAGAACCGGACCCGAACAGAACCGTGAGACGGGCAGACGGAACCGGACCGGGACCGGGCCGGGACAGAACCAGACCCGAACAGAACCGTGAGACGGACAGACGGAACCGGACCGGGACCGGGCCGGGACAGAACCCAAACAGACCTCCAGACTAACATTGATTTAATTATCAGTTGAAAGTTCTACAGGTTTAAACTTTTTCCACACAATATTAGAAATACATTAAAAGATTCAAATAAACTGAAACTCAAGTTGCCTGAAATGCAACAACAGCCTCCATTTAGTCAATTAATCATTTAGTCAATTAACCATTTAGTCAATTAATCATTAGAATAATTGATTATCCTGATAATCAGATAAAATAATAGATTCAAATCAATAACTAATTAATTTTATTTAAGGAAGTAATATTTACTGCTACAATATAGAGGATTATTCTTTATTGAACATTTTATCATCTGCAGCTAAAACATGTGAAAAACATCAATAGTGCAGTATTGATCTATTGATTATTTCTTAGATAAACTGATCAGTAATTGGATTGTAAAGAAAAGTTAAAGAATGTTTTTTAGGTTTTGCTTATTGCTGCTCTCAGTGTTTTTATTTTTCCAATTGTTGGTCTGCGTTCTCCGATTAATTTATTGATTAGTAAAATCACTGATTGATCAGTGAGTGATCAGTGATCAATCACTGATCAATCACTTATTGATCAGTGATTGTTCAGTGATTGATCACTGATCGATTAATCAGTGTGATCAATCACTGATTGATCAGTGATCGATCACTGATTGATCAGTGAGTGATCAGCGATTGATCAGTGAGTGATCAGCGATTGATCACTGATTGATTTATCACTGATTGATCACTGATAGATTGATCACTGATTGATCAGTGATTGATCACTGATTGATCCCGTTTCAGGTGAACAGGTGGAGCGATGGGCGGGTCTCTGTCTGGACTCACCTTCCTCCAGCTGCTCGGCGTCTGCAGCGCCCCGTTGCCAGGGCACCAGGACCACCAGGGGCAGCGGGCAGCTCCAGCTGCTGATCTGCTGCAGCTGCTTGAGCTGCAGCAGGGCGGACAGCAGAGGGACGTCCTGCTGCTCCGCCTCCAGGAGGGGCAGCAGCATGACGATGGCCGCGGCGCCGCGCAGCTCGCAGCGCTCCTCCGCTCCGGACAGACCGGCGTCGGTCAGCGGACCTCTGGACGCCTGGAGAGACGGAGGAGAGCTCAGCGGAACCGGTCGGTCCGGTCCAGAGCAGAGAATCCGACACGACGACAATCAGCTCCTCAAAACTGGGTTTCATTCAATCAACTGAAAATAATCTACAGGTTTAAAAAGTGACTCTGGGAACAAAGTGATGACCTGGACCCGGTTCTACTCCGACCTTCACTGTGATGTGGACTTTGTGAGTTCTGTGTCCGTCGTCCTGCAGGCTGTTGGAGACGCACAGCGTCCTCAGCGTCCCGTCTCTCCGCTCCTCCGACGCCGAGTCGGCGCCGAGTTTCACCTCCAGCCAGTCCGACAGAACCCTGAACACAAAGGTTCCTTCAGAACTTTTATTTCAGTTCCATTTAAAAACCAGCAAACTGTTTGGGTCGTGGATTTTTCTCCTGCTTGATGTTCTCAGTCCCAGCAGTGGAACCCGGTGGTGGCAGCATTATGCTGAGGTCCTGCAGCCTGGAGAGAGTTTCTCTAAAGTCTGCCACAATATTTGGACCCTGTCAAGTAATAACTGTCAAATAATTTATGTAATTGATCAATTATTGACTGGAGTCATTACAGACGATACACGTGATTAATATTCATAATAATGAACAGAATAATAAATCATCATAAAAATTGATTGTCAGAATAATCAATAGAATATTCAGTTTTAGTGACTGTCAAAACAATCGATAAAAAATCCATTAATTGTTGAATAACTGATAGAATTGATTAATCATCAAAATAACAGTCAGGTCTGAATATTGATTCTATCAGAAAATCGATCAATTATTCTGATGTTTATTCTCAATAACTATCAGAATAATTCACCAAATAACCGATTAATTGTGAGAATTGATTGACAGATGAATCAACCAGCTGATCAGTTGGGGTCGGGTCGGTTCTGACCGGTCTGCCGGGCCGGCCTCCCGTTCGCTGGGCAGCAGCAGCAGAGCTTTCCAGAAGATCCGGTCCGTCGGGTTCGGGACGTTTTCCGCGGCCAGCGCCGGCAGATCCAACGGCTTCCAGCACGTCTCCCTGAGAGAAACAGCAGAACCGGGTCAGAGTTCTGCTTCAGGTCCTGAGCCTCGGCGCGACCGGACCGGACTCACTCCAGCAGCTGCTGGTAGAAGGAATGGACCCTCATCTGGTGGACGGCGCCGCGCCGCATCCGCAACAACCTGGACACACAGGAGACTGGTTTCAGCTCCGCCCCCGCTCCGCGGCGCGGCGGCCGGGCCGGACGGACCCACCTGGTGCTGGACACGGCCAACACGCCGGCGTTCCCCAGGTCCACCAGGCCCCGGGCCAGGTCCGCCATGGAGGGCCTCTGGGGGGCGCTGGGGGCCAGGGCCCGCAGCGTGAAGCGGGGATCCACGCAGCACGGAGCCGCGGGAAAACTCCTCATCTGACGCTTCAGCTGGCGGCGGACGGCCACCACATCACGCCACCTGGAGGGTCACACAAAAACTTTAACTAGGCCCAAACTCATCCAGGTTCTACGCTGACGTTCTGATCCGTTTGAACCTTTTGATGAACTTATGGATCCGTTCCAGCTCAGCCTCCAGAACGTCCTCTGCCAGCTGAGCGACGTCGGCGGCTAACGTCTCCTCGATCAAACTGCTGCAGATCTGATGGCTGCATCGGGTCAGACGCTCGGCTTCCTCATCCAAAGCCTCCCTGGAAAACAAACCGGCCCAAAGATTCAACCACCGAGAAGTGAAGAGGATTTTAGCACCGGATCCAACGACTGACGTCTCTGATGGGAACCTGATCAGTTATGATGCAAAGACGGAAAATTTTACGTCTTTTAGGATCTAAATGGATGAAAACAAAGTTAAAAAGCGTAAAAAAAACAACTAAGTTGTACTAAAAGGAGTTAGCATATGAGCTTAGCTATTCAAATGGCATCTTAATGCTAAACATGTAGCAGCTAACGCTAATGTTAGCATCCACATTTCTAAAAAAACTCCATGAAGAATCAGAGAAACAGAAAAACATTTTGATCCAATCAGATTAAAACCTGGAAATATTCCTGCTGTTCTTGGACTGAAAGTCCCACCGCTGGTCTTCACATGTCCTAAACCCTGAACTGAACCACGAGTCTTTAACTGTCTTTCACCATTTTATCAAACGGGTCCAGGAAGTCTTACTGGATCTCGGCGGCGGCGGTTTCCCTGACGACTTCATGGACGACCTCCTGGATGACCTCTGAGCAGAGCGAGCCGCTGAACTGAGCCAGGAAGGCCTGGCGCTCCTGACGGCGCCTGAGAGGCAGAGCAGACACAGAAACATGGACACAGAGCGGAAACGTCGAGCGGGGTCCCCCTGTCCCAATGGAGATCAGGACGCAGTGCATTGTGGGAACCGACCTGGCCTCCTCCAGTCTGCGTCGCTCCTCAGCGAGCCGCTCCTCCTCCAGCCAGATCTCTGACGCTGAAACCTCCGTCATCATCTGCTCCAACACCTCCTGCACCAGAACCTCCAGCTGCGCCTCGCTCTCCCTGCGTGAACATCATCACAGGTCATGGAAGCGTCCGCCCGACGCGCAGAACCGAACGCTGAGCGCCAGCTCACCGCAGGGCCGCTCTGGCGTAGCTGGCGCCTCCATCAGCGAGCGCTCTGACTTCAGCCTCCACCACTTCCTCCAGCAGCGCCTCCGCCGCCACCAGGACGTCCTGGAACACAACGCAGCAGAACGTCGGCACAGAACCAGGACGGAGGACGGCAGAGTCTGCCTGCCGCCTCCTACCTCCTCGCTGAAGAGCGGTTGGGGTTTGGGTGGAGGTGACGGAGGTCTGGCGGGTTCAGGCGCAGCGATCGGCTGGAAGATGTGAGCCGCCGGCGGGAACGGCTCTCCGGTCTCAGCTGGAGCGTCGAGAACGACGGTCGGCGGCGGCGGCGGCTCGACGCGCGGCGGGGAGGAAACGTCGACGGCGTCAGCTGGAACCAGAAAACGTTCTGAAATCATCAGCTGTCATTTAATGCAGGATTATTTATGGAACAACGACAGAAAATATTTAACCATCAAAAACTTGGAGATTTTCAATTTTTTTTTATTTTTCCTGTTTTGTCCCAAAAAACTGATTTATTTCAAGCGAAAAAGCTAAATTGTCATCGCGCCTCGAATCCAGTCCATCAGAAACATGAGCTGAAAATGAATCGATGGGACCAAAACTCTTCTACACAGATAAATGAAAAAGTTCAATTAAAAAGCAAATCCTGGGAAAGTTTGATAGATTAACCTTTTCCATGTCTGAGAATCAGAACCAGGAAATGGACAGGAAGTGAGCAGGAAGTGAGCAGGAAGTGAGCAGGAAGTGAGCAGGACGTACCAGGCTGTGCCGCCCCGGCGCCTCGGGGGACGACGTATCCGAAGCCGGGCTCCAGCAGTCCCTCTGAATCTGTTGAAGGAGTCGAAGCTGCAGACGGGACGGTGCTGTGGCGGGTCGGGGACCGGACCTCCGTTCACCACCTCCCCGATCAGCGGCGCCTTCTTGGACAGGATGACCTCTGACCTCTTCAAGGACAGCGGGAGCTCCGGCTCCTGGAAGACCATCCGACTCAGTTCCACCATCCTGAGGAGAAGCGCACAGAACGTTCCCGAGTCAAAGACTCGCCGCCCAGAGACCGGCCGACCCGGCCGCCGACCTGGACGCTGACCCGGCCGCCTGGCGAAGGCCGAACCGCCTCACCCGTCGTTGACGTTGAGGCCGAACTGCTGGACGAAGTCCGTTGCTTCAGACGCGCTGCGGAACATCAGCATGCGGACGACGTCGTCGACGGGGAACGGGGTGGATCGCGTGCCGAAGGTGTGAGCCGCGATCAGGGCCTTCAGAGCCTTCGATCGGACCTGCAACAGAACCACAGCCCGGCGTGGAAACCATGCGGGACACATCGGACCACTGACTGAACGTCCTCTGGTCAGAGACTCAGACAGGAAGTGAGTTTTCCACTTGTTCCTACCTGGTTGAAGTATCGGTGCAGCAGGCAGCTGGACAGGTAAGAAGCTCCTTTCACCAGCTTGAAGAAACGCACAAAGTTGTTGCTGCTGACGGCCGCGAAGGCTTGAACCGCAAACTTCACCTCCGGAGACTTCCGGACCTCGTCCCGGAACTGCTGCACCTCCCTGCAGGGACAGGAAGTCGTCAAAATGCCATGAGGAATTCGGTTCTGGCCCGGCAATTTGCTGAACAGCTCAGAGCTTTAATCAAACCAGGAAGTGGACTATAAACTTATTATTTAAGTTTTTTTTTAAAAATAATCATTGTAAATATTTTCTATTCATGTTAGAAAAAGGTTTCTCAGTTCTGAATCCATTCTTGACCCAAATGTTCACTAAAGTAACGCTGTTATTGTATTTAGGCAATAAAATGTTTATTTTCTTATTTAAAATGTTTTAATGATTTGTTTATCTGAATGTATTTAATGTATTTCAAATATTGCATAAAAAACACTGAAGTGCTTCAATAAAAACCTGACAGAATATTTGAATAATCTGAATCGTCAGAATAATCATCACAGTAATAATGATAATCAGTTAGCTAATAATAAATTGATTGTCAGAATAACTGATGAGTCATAATCAGCAGAGTAATGGATTACAGATGTAACGGTTGGTTTCAGGCTCAGGTTTCAGGCTCAGGTTTCAGCCTGACGTTTCGGAGCGACTGACCGCAGGATGTCGCCGTCGTTGAGCTTCAGCAGGACGCTGTACTGGCGGAACTCGGCCTCCAGGGGGCAGAACGTCTGCTGCGTCGCCAGATCCTCGTACATTTCCTTCAGACTCTGCAGGCACTTGGTCATGTTCTCGTTGTTGATCTTGGCGTCGAAGGACGACATGTGCTGCTCGCAGAGGTGGTGGGCGCAGTGAACGTGGAACCTGGTGCATTTCTCGATCAGCGACACGGTGTGGGGGCAGCAGAGCCGCTGCTGGGTGATGTCCTGAGCACAGCGGGACCGTCAAACCGCCGCCCTGCGGGAATCTGCTGGACGTCGCCGCTCTGGCGCTTACCTTGCGAATGCCTCGGGTTCGGTTCCACACAAAGTCGTACCAGTCTCTGTGGCTGTCCGGACCCCGGTCCATGATCTGGGTCACCAGGTAGTCCATGGTCATGCTGAGCACGGCGAGGGGCCGCAGCTCGTGAGGAAGAGGCTCCTCCTGGTCGGCCGAGGAGCGGCTGTACTCCTTGATGGCAGCTGCGTGATCCACCTGGGAGGAACAGAACAGACCAGAACCTCCTGGACGAAAAGTTCTCGACGTTTGGCTTCAACATGAACTCAGATAGAAAAACAGACATTTACATCAAATTAAACAGCAAACTGGGAACAAACGGAGAGAAAGAGACAAAGTTCTTCACTGAAACATGTCCTGAAACTTCAAGAGATGATCAGAAACCATTTGGATCCATTGAGATCCATTTGGATCAGATCTGATCTGTTTGGTTCTGTTCTGATCAGTTCTGATCCCTCTGGATCAGTTCTGATCCGTCTGGATAAGTTCAGATCTGTTGGGTTCTGTTCAGATCCGTTTGGATCAGTTCTGATCCGTTTGGTTCTGTTCTGATCCGTTTGGTTCTGTTCTGATCCGTTCTGATCCGTTGGATCAGTTCTGATCCGTTTGGTTCAGTTCTGATCTGTTGGGTTCTGTTCTGATCAGTTCTGATCCGTTTGGTTCTGTTCTGATCCGTTCTGATCCGTTTGGATCAGTTCTGATCTGTTGGGTTCTGTTCTGATCAGTTCTGATCCGTTTGGTTCTGTTCTGATCCGTTCTGATCCGTTTGGATCAGTTCTGATCTGTTGGGTTCTGTTCTGATCAGTTCTGATCCGTTTGGTTCTGTTCTGATCCGTTCTGATCCGTTTGGATCAGTTCTGATCTGTTGGGTTCTGTTCTGATCAGTTCTGATCCGTTTGGATCAGTTCTGATCCGTTTGGTTCTGTTCTGATCCGTTCTGATCTGTTGGTTCTGTTCTGATCAGTTCTGATCCGTTCTGATCTGTTGGGTTCTGTTCTGATCAGTTCTGATCCGTTTGGTTCTGTTCTGATCTGTTGGGTTCTGTTCTGATCAGTTCTGATCCGTTTGGATCAGTTCTGATCTGTTGGGTTCTGTTCTGATCAGTTCTGATCCGTTTGGTTCTGTTCTGATCCGTTCTGATCCGTTTGGATCAGTTCTGATCTGTTGGGTTCTGTTCTGATCAGTTCTGATCCGTTTGGTTCTGTTCTGATCCGTTCTGATCCGTTTGGATCAGTTCTGATCTGTTGGGTTCTGTTTGATCAGTTCTGATCCGTTTGGATCAGTTCTGATCCGTTTGGTTCTGTTCTGATCCGTTCTGATCTGTTGGGTTCTGTTCTGATCAGTTCTGATCCGTTCTGATCTGTTGGGTTCTGTTCTGATCAGTTCTGATCCGTTTGGTTCTGTTCTGATCTGTTGGGTTCTGTTCTGATCAGTTCTGATCCGTTTGGATCAGTTCTGATCTGTTGGGTTCTGTTCTGATCAGTTCTGATCCGTTTGGTTCTGTTCTGATCCGTCTGGATCAGATGCAGCATCATGATGTACCAGAATTTTTCGGGTTCTTACCACCTCCGTGTTCGGGACGACCTCGTACACGCTGAGCTGGTTCCGTGTCTCCCTCATGTACCTCTCCTCTCGGGACACATGTCGGGACACGTCCCCACAAACACCTTGGACAGGTCCAGGTCTGTCCTCTTGGGTCGTCCTGAGGGACAGCAGGACAGGACTGTCAGGTTTCAGACGCGTTGCAGCTGCGGCAGCTTGACGTCGTCCTCACCCTGACGCAGGACTTTGTCTCTCTGCTCCAGGAGACGGTACTTGTCCTCGGCGGTCTCGGCGACCTGCCCGACCAGGTGGACCAGGGAGGACGGGACGAGACGCTCCGACCCCTGGGCCTCGGCCACGTTCTCCTTCTGGGGCTCCGAGTCAAACGGCGGCAGCTTGGCCGGAGACGGCCTCTTCACCGGAGAGCTGCGGGAGGCGAGAGAGAGCTGCAGCCGAACCCGGACGGAACCGGTTCTGATCCGTTCAGGCGAACCTACCTCTGCCTGAAGGACGGGTGGCCCGGCGCCGGAGGCATCAGGGCCGGCCGTCTGAGAGGAGAACAACCCGGCGCTGGCTCCTCCGCTTCAGGACTTTGTGCTCCGGATCGGTCCGGTTCGGCCGGCGCTCTGCTGCCTTTGTCTCCAGGGCCTGAAGGAGACAAAAACCTCTCCATTAACCCATTTTTATTCAAATAAATAACAATAATCTGATCCTGAATGACCAATCCAACCTCGATTGAACACAAACCCATCAAGTTCATTTTTTAAATCCATGAAATTGATTTAAAATCATCAAACTTACAGATATTTTGGTGGAAAAGTTGTTAAAGTGGTAAATTAACAGTTTGTTCAGTAAATCAGACTTAATAAATAAACGTCGAGATTTTTAACAACCTATATAAACCAAAATTCAATGAAATGGACTTTAAATGCTGAAGTTCTGCTGCTTACTGTGTTTCTTCCTCTGCCAGAGCAGCAGCAGTTCGTGTCGGTGCAGAACCTTCCCTCGCCGCTTCGCTTTAGCAGCCGAAGCCTGAAAGACAAAACAAGATGAGCAGAACTGCAGTGGCTCGTCTTCACCACCAGGCTGCAGCACCGAGCCGCTTCCTGTTCCTGTCAGAAAACCATCACTGCTCCCAGCAAAACCAGTAAGACTTTCACTCACAAAGAATGATCACAATAAATCAGTAAGAGTAGGACTGCAACTAACCATTCTTCTATCATCAGACTAATCGATTATTTTATCAAATCAATTAGTATTGGGATTTATCAAACTGATTGATTATTGTGTCGACTAATCGATTAATCAATTGTTCTGGTGATTAATCTGAAAAAGTAACTGCAACATTCTGCAGATTTCTCATTTAATCATTTAAGTTTATTTTTTGCAATATTAGAAATAAATGAAAATTAAATAATAAACATTTTATTTCCTAGAAGCATAAAGTCTTTAGTGAAAGTTTGATGATCTGAAGCCTGGAGGGTCATCAGCAGGTTTACTTCCTGTTTCCTTACGGCTCTGAGTTTGTTGTTCATTTAGAAATTGGCCTTTTCTAGAATCAGTTAATTAATAAATCACTGATGTATTATTTCAACAATCGTTTCAGTCCTAATTAAAAACCGATTCCACCGACATGCCAGGATGAAACGTCTGACCCCAGACCAAGTGAGGAGAGCGACTCACGGGGTCGTGGAAGTGGACCACGGCCTGGTTCTTGTTGGGGCGGCAGAAAGTTTTACAGACTTTCCCGAAACGAGAGAAATGTTTCTGGATCACGTCCTTCTTGTTGAGGCTTGGAGGGACGTTCCTGACCATGATGGTGGTCAGATCGCTGGGAGACCCTCCGCTCAGGCTGTCCACGCTGTCCCTGCGGGGCCCACGGCCCACCGGGGTCAACGCCTCGGAGGCTGAGGTCAGAGGGTCAGACGGGCCTGCAGAGGACAGACACCATTTTGTTTCAACTCGGCCAGAGAAAACAGAGGAGCAGCAAAAGAAAAGGAGGTGGATGAGCAGCTTCATCACCCATAAAGTCCAGAGCAGCAGAAAAGATTTGTCTTCAAATAACCAGAATTATTTAAATACATAAAGACTGAAACAAATCCTGATTATTGTCTAAACATTATTATTGTTGTTGCTCATCCACCAGCACAAGGGCAGTCACTCATTCATTCATTCATTCACTCACTCACTCACTCACTCATTCATTCATCCAGCAGTCTGTCGTGTTTTTGAGCTAAAAAAATGTTTGAAGTTCACAGAAAATTTGAAAATATCACTGATAATGAAGTTTTGGGAAAAGTAAATATATTACAAAGATTTAATTAAATCAGTAATGCTCAGCCTGGTGGCCCGCCAGGCTTATAATGCCCTGTGGGAAACCCTGGAGTTATTGTGGCAGACGTATCGATCCGTCCTATAGAGTATCAATCCGTGTATCGATCCGTCCTATCATGTATCAATCCGTCCTATCAGGTATCGATCCGTTCCATAATTTTTATTAAACATTAATATTCTGACCTGAATCTTCTGGTGTCTCTGCAGTTTCTCTGCTCATCGCCGGCGCTGTGAGCGTCTTGGCCGGCGGTTCGTGTCCCTGAGCTCCCTCTGGCTCCTCTGGAGCCGGCTTCTCAGTGGGTCCCACAGCAGGGGGCCCCAGAGCGGCGGGGGCCTCGGCGCCTCCTTCAGGGCCCTCCTCCTCACCGGGTTGCTCTGCTCCTTCCGGATGCCGCTCAGCGCCCGGCTAAACAGGCCCCCTGCGATGCCCCGGGCCCTCACCACCGGCCTCTTGGCGGGGTGTCTGGGTGAGTCGACGTCCGGCGGCGAGGGGGCGTCGTCCTCGCCCGGCTTCTCGGGACCGCCAGCGGTCGGGTCGTCCTTCTCTTGGCTGCTTTGCTGAGCCGAGCGAAACGTTGGCCGGGGCCTCCTTATCTTCAGGGCCAAACTCGGCTTCAGAGTCGCCAAAGGTGGAGGGGCGGCTGAACGAGGAGAACGGCGTGGGCTGGGTCTCCAGGGAGGTGGAGGTGAAGCCGAAGGAGGACGGGGTGGTCGGCTCCGCCGTGGAGCCGGGGCCCGTGGGGGCGGGTTGGTGAAGGAGAACCGAGGGCCGCCGCTGCCACCGCCTGATGGCGGGTGGGGGCCAGAATGGGGAGCTGCCGGCTGGGTGAAGCAGCTGAAGACCAGAGGCTTGGCTCCGGCCAGCGAGGAGAAGCCAGCAGAGGGGCCGGAGGGGGCCGGGCCCCGGCTGCTGGGCGGCTCTGGGCTGCCGCTGTAGATGGGTTTGAACACGGCCTCGTTGGGAGAAGCTGAACTCTGGAGGTCCAAAACCCCGGTTCTGGTTCACATTCTGGGGGCGCTGAACACGCTGGAGGCCGGCTGCACAAACGAGGGGTTGGAGCCGGTGGGGCCCGACGGTTTGAGAGGTTTCCCGAAAGCAGGAGGGGCCTTTCCCAAACCTGAATGCTGACCGAACGCAGAGGGCTGGATGAAGGAGGGGCTCTGTCCAAACACGGAGCTCTGGTTGAGTCCGAAAGCCGCAGCTGAGCTGCTGGTATTCACAGGAGGCTGCCCAAAGGCTGGAGCCTTGCTCAAGGGAGGCTGGCCCTGGGCAGGTAGCTGTCCGAAAATGGAACCACTCTGAGTAGCAGGCTGATTAGCCGTGGATGACTGTCCGAAAATGGAACCACTCTGAGTAGCAGGCTGATTAGCCGTGGATGACTGTCCGAAAATGGAACCACTCTGAGCTCCAGGTTGATTAACAGACTGCTGTCCGAAAACTGAACCAACCTGAGCTGCGGGCTGATTTGTTGCTTGCGGCTGTCCGAATATGGAACCACTCTGAGCGCCGGACTGATTAACGACAGACGCCTGTCCGAAGATGGAACCAATCAGCCCTGAAGGCTGTTTAACAACGGGATGCTGTCCGAAAACGGATCCACTCTGATCGGATGGCTTATTCACTGCAGGTGATTGTCCGAAGATGGAACCACTTTCCGCCGTTGGCTGATTTGATGGCTGTCCGAAGATGGAATTACTTTGAGCTGGAGACTGGTTTGATTGTTGTCCAAAGATGGAATTACCTTGAGTTGGAAACTGATTAGATGGCTGTCCGAAGATGGACCCACTCTGAGCTGCAGGCTGATTGGATGCCTGTCCGAAGATGTAACCACCCTGACCTCCGGGCTGACTGACAATAGATGGCTGCCCGAAGATGGAGCCACCTTGGGGGGCAGGCTGGTTCATCACAGATCGTTGTCCGAAAATGGAGCCACTCTGCACTGCAGGCTGAAGCGCTGCAGACTGCTGTCCGAAGGCAGGAGGTTGGAGAAAACTTTGTCCCTGAGATCCGCTGGAATTCTGCTGCCCGAACCCCTGGAACAGACCGGGCTTCATGGAGCTGCTGGGGGCCTGGAAAGCCCCACCCTGCGGACTTCCAAACGGATTCATGGCGCAGATAAACAACTTTATGGGGTGTAACCGGATCCAACTGGTTCGATCTGAGCAACAGTTTGTAGCTCTGCTGTTAGCATCGGCTAACTCCCACAAAAATCAGCTTAGAAAATGCCCCAAATGTTCATTTCTCTCGATTCTCCCGCTATCAGAAATACAAAACAAAGTCTTGAATTTCACACGTGCCCAATATATACAAGCTTCAAATAAAAACTATCCATAATTTTACTCGGGTTTATTGTATTTTCGTTCAGGATCCGCTCAAATAACTTCACACTTCCGGCTCCGGTCCGACGACGTTTTTAGTCCCCGATTAACCCTATATTCAGTTCCGCGACTCTCGAGCTGAAACGGCAAAGAATAAAAACAGATATATTTTGATTGACCCACAATGTGCAAAGTGAGTGCTTTCTATCAAAAATGGTTGTTATTTTTATTCAACATGTAAACTGAGAATCTAAATCAAATAGAAACAGTGTTTAACCTGTTTGCTTCTGATTCGTATAACCTCATTTTGAAATAATAAAAACAAAACTTTAAAATATTGACCAACAGTTCCAACTCTGTAACAGGAAGTCTGTGAGATTTGGCATCATTTATTCTAACTTCTGTAGAATTCTAAGATTCTGTACAATACTTTATTGAATTATCTAATAAATTTACTCAAACATTTAAAAATATGCAATTTAAAACTTTTTATGCCTGAAGTCCTAAAGTATTATAATAAAAACCAAAATATTTAGATGGGTCAAACTTGAACTTTAAACCATTTTAGGCAGACTCTCAAAATACAATATGAACCTTTAATTTGTGAACATTTAATAAGTGCAGCTTTACTGTTTTTACCTGTAGACCTGATTTGTTTCAAAATGTTTTTCATGTAAATCCTTGAATTTGTTCAAACTTTCCTAGATCAATCAACACCATGATAAAACATCATTATTGCTCTGATACATTTACATGTTAAAGTTTAAAACCCACCATTTATTGTGTCAAAAATGAAATAAAATAAAAAGTTCCATAGTTAATGTAGCAGCTTCAGGGATTCAGGCGACATGTTGAATCATAAAACAGGATTTATTCTGGTGTGGACAACCTGTGAGATCTGTGAAAGAAACCATATGAGACCTCAATCTAGTACTTTATATCTGATGGTCAACAATTAATCACAGAAAATAATCTTATAAAATAGACAGATTAAATGCTGATGCCTAGGAGGGACTAAATAATTCCTGTTCTTCTCTCTCTTCTCCTCCATCGTTCCTCTTGAGTATTTCTTCTATTTATCTTCAGTTTTTACATTTTTCTCTCTTTCTGTGTGTGGAGTTAATCATTCGTCGTATCTAATTAAATTAATTACATTAAATATAAACAAATGTGTCTTTACTGAGTTGTATGAAACTTAAATACAAACAAATTCAACTGATAATTAACTGATAATCAACTGATAATTAACTGATAATCAACTGATAATTAACTGATAATTAACGAGCAGGTGGAGCACAGGTCGGCTTGTGCAGATCACAGGAACATTAAATCCTGTTAAATTTAATAACGTTCATTTTAAGACTAAATATTGTCAGTTTTTAGATTCTGAATCGGGGAAAATGTTGAACTCGCCCTTTAATCAAGACTCAAACCGGAAGTTGTGAGTCAGAAGCCAACTTCAGCGCCGGCTTCATGGTGTCACCTTGAATTGTGTCCTGAATGACTGAGTCTGAATGAGGCTGTTCTCCTTGAGGCTCGGTGTCAGTTCGTATCGGAAGCTCGAGGCTCGGTTCGGGTAGGTCCATGTACCGGGTTTAAGATGGGAGTGGTCCTGCGGAACCTGCAGAAGGTGGTCCCTCTGCGCCGCGCCAGGCTGCGCAGGGACGTGGACACGCTGAGACACATCCTGGGCATCCAGAAGTTCGACCTGGGCATCATCTGCGTGGACAACCGCAGGATGCAGCAGCTCAACAACCTGTACAGGAAGAAAACGCGCCGACGGACGTCCTGTCCTTCCCGTTTTACGAGGTGACCGACTCGTTAGATCTGAATATTAAATCTACTGTCTGATCCGGAGGTAACTTTATTATATGTGACCCAACCAGATTTTGTTCGGGTTTGTGTTTATTATGAAACTTTAAGCTAACTTCCAAAACAAAGTCCGCGGTTGCCATGGTGATTCCCGCATTTTGTGGCGCACAGGAATGAAGGAGTTAAAACATTTAAAAGCTGCTGAACCTTCTGGAAGTTTCTGTTTTATTCCGGATATGGAAACTTAAATTAATGGGTTGAAAAAAAAAAAGGCAAATGAGACGCTGAAGAGACAGAAGTCTTTATGGAAGCCCATGACTGCCAAGAAATAGAAAAGCATCTACAAGTTATCGCCTTTAGCTTTGGAGACTGTTTCAAAGTGACGGTTGTGATACTAGAGCAACAGTCCTGAGAGAAATGATGGACATTTTCTGTCCAGTTCCATGTAGAGTCCCGAAGCGTTCAGCTCAAGTCATGTCCCTGTCTGTCCCTCTCTCTCTCTGTCCCTGTCTCTCTGTCCCTGTCTGTCCCTCTCTCTCTGTCCCTGTCTGTCCCTCCAGGACCTGCGGCCCGGGAAGCTGCCCTGCCCGCTGCACAGAGACGAGCTGAACCTGGGAGACGTTTTCCTGGGAGTCGAGTTTGTGATGAATCAGTGCCAAAAAGAATCGCTGGACCTTCATGGAGCTCTGACTGTGAGTTACCAGAGCTCTATGGATTCATGTGATCATATTCACTGCTGAACAGATCAGAGCAAATTTACACCAATAAACTGAGAAAATAATTTTCCATATTTACAAGAGAAAAACTCTTGAGTTTTCTGACGAAAATGTTTGGAGATCATAAAGTCGGAGACTGAGGTGATGAATCTGAGACCAGCGTCTGGATGTTTTCTGAACCGGAAGCCGTCCATCGGGCTTTTCTCCTGGATCAGAACGTTTCTCGGGTTCAGAGTTCAGCAGCTTCCTCCTCACAGTCTCAGGTGTTTTCTGGTTCCGACCCAAAGTGAGTCTGGACCTGGAAGATCTCGCTCTGCTGCAGGAAAAGAGCCCGAATCGACAGCAACACCAGGAAACATCCAGATGCTGGAGGAGTTTGCACATATTTCTATTTTAGTAAATTTACTTTTTTTCTTTATTTCTGACGTCATAAATAATTTGACATTTAAGCTTTTAATGTTTTTTTCCTGCACATTTACATTCATGTAATGAATCTAGAAATGTTGTGCCCAGTTTCCCTTCGTCTCTGATCCTCCGTTGGTTTGCATGTCAGTCATGCTCTGCTGTCACGCTCTGCTGTCCCGCAGGCGGTCACCGCTCACGGCATCTGCCACCTGCTGGGCTACCGGCATGAGACGGAGGAGGAATGGGCCGAGGTGAGTCAGCAGCTTGACCCACAGCACCAGGCTTCACCAGCCGGCAGCCATTTTGTTGTTTCCAGCCTTATTGATGGCTATAATCACTCCAGATCAGAACAGACGGTTCTGTTCAGATCAGTCAAACTTTGATGCATATCATTTTTATTCAATTCAAAAATACTTTATTCCAAAGAGAAGTTAAATATTGTCATAACTGATCGTCACAAAGTGGCTGTGAATGATGATGCAGGAAGGATCTCCAGTAGCAGTCAGTATTGCAACTAATGAAGAGGCCTCTGACTGAAGCCTGGCACTAACAGCTAGCTGGACGAGACCAGAGATGCTGGAGTAGGGGATAATAATATTCCCTTCAAAACGTCCAAAATGTTTGTTTCTCATATTGTGCATGGATGGGCGGCTGACGGTTGTTGATGCCGTTTTGTTGCAGATGCTGCAGAGGGAGCGATACATCCTGAGCGAATACAACAGACTGACCGGCCGCCATCTTGAGCCGCTCATGAAGGCGTTCAGCCCAGAAACGTGACGCCGCGATCAGCGCCGCGCTAAATGTTTTGCACGAATTCGACCGCTGAAGTTCTCTGTGAAAACAGCGACTGCTGGACGGACATTTACAGCAGAACAAAAACTCAAACCGTTATTTACAAAAGAACTAATCCAGTTTGTGTTTTGACTATAATTTTATTAAAATCTGCTTTCAGGAAGAATCAGTCGAGTATGAAGGGTAGAAAAAGCTTCTCACTCTCACTGCATAAATACATTTCAGCCTCTTGACGCCTGCAGGTTTCACTCAGACGGCTGGACGTCCGGCTGGACGTCCGGCTGGACGTCCCCTCTGCCCAAACGGAGAATATTAAAAGAAATCATCTGATGCGGGTAAATTATGATGACTTGCTTCATTTTACAGTGGATTATAAACTATAAACAAGGATTTTCCTCTAGATCGAGTCGATAAATACCGAAGAAACGGGAAGTTTCCTGTGGGCCGCGACGCTGCCAGCACCAGAACCATCTGCTAGCTTTATACAAACGAAGGTCCAAACACCCAGAACCAAACAGAATAAAGCTCAAACACATTTAGAAAGGTTCTCTCAGGAGGCACAAAACCCAATAATGCCGGGTCCAACTCAGAAGCTCAGTAACTAACAGACAGAACCGAACACAAAGCAGCACAAAAGCAACGGAAAGCATCCGACCCAGCAGAACCGAGCCAGAACCTACGTATTGCACCAAACGGACCCGCTAAACACAGCAAGCCTCTAGCTCTGCCACAGATTTACTCCAACATAGAATTTCTTTATTTAGTAGAGAACTAAAGGATCTGCAAACAGAACCAGAACCAGCAGCGTCTGCTGAAACCAGGACGACAAAAAACAAAAACAAAATGGCCTCAGACATGGAGGCAAAGTTCCATCCGCTGAACGTTTGAGTCGTAACGCTTCCCCGTCTGAGCAGAGGAGCAAACGGAGGAGGACGGCGCCACCTAGCAGGGAGCGGCAGGATCCTCAGAGCGGCTGCAGGACGTTCCTTCCTGCTTCAGAGGCGCTGCTGGTTCCGGACCGCTCCATCTCCGACAGCTGCTCGAAAACATCCCTGAAACAGACGGACGGATGGGTCAGCGGATCAGCCCGGCTCGCGCCGGATCAGCCCGGCTCGCGCGGGAACAGCCGCGGGTTTTGGGTCAGTCACTTCAAATAAAATGTATTTAATAGTTTAGCTCCTGAAATCAGGCCTCGGTCTCTGAGGCGGAGCTGCGTCTTGAGGGCGGGGCTAAGACCACTCAGGCGTTTTGCACAGTTGAATGGTTGCCCTGGAGATGAAAGGCAACTCCAGTATGTTTTAGAGGGAATGACATCATAATGCTAAACTGAGAGTTGATTTTAGGGCACTAGCCCTTTAATCTGGAAGCATTTAACTGTCTAGTTAAAACAAGGAACCTC